TTTTTGTAGATCATGTCATGTACTGTATGCCAGGTATCTGGGAAACCAAACCAGGTTATACCTCCAGCTCCTTTGTGCCCAATACCAGTGGTAGGAGAACCGTTTGAAAAAGTTATGGTTGATTGTGTTGGTCCATTCCCAAGAACAAAATCAGGGAATCAGTATCTTTTCACTATCATGTGTTCATCTACTCGATTTCCTGAGGCTGTGCCTCTTCGTAGAATTACAGCGAAGAGTGTGTCTAATTAGGGCTTTGATTAATTTCTTTTCCATTTTTGACTTGCCTAAAGTTGTGCAATCTGATTGGGGAACTAACTTTATGTCCAGAATCTTTACACAGGTATTGCAGACACTGGGGATAAAGCATGTTGTTTCCAGCCCGTACCATCCAGAATCTCAAGGGGCCCTTGAGCGGTTTCATCAGTCTTTAAAATCCATGCCAAGGAAATATTGCATAGACACTAGTAGAGATTGGGACAAGGGGGTTCTTTTTGTTTTATTTGCTTGCCGAGAGGCTGTGCAGGATTCACTAGGTTTTAGTCCAGCCGAACTTGTCTTTGGGCACACTGTGTGTGGCCCCTTGAAATTGGTAAAAGACAAGATATTGTCAGAGGGGGCTCCAGAGCAGAATGTTTTAGAGTATGTGGCAAATGTTCGTGATAAAATGCGCAGGGCATGTTCGTTAGCAAAAATAAATCTCTGCGAGGCTCAGGGTAGTATGAAAAGGAGGTATGATAAAAATGCTGTTTCTAGGTCTTTTAATTCAGGGGACCAAGTTCTAGCATTATTGCCTATGTCAGGGTCTTTGTTAAAGGCAACGTTTTCAGGTCCATATGTGATTGACTGGAAGATCAATGACACAAATTATGTGATTTGTACTCCTGATTGTCAACGTAAGTCTCGTGTTTTCCATATAAACATGTTGAAAGGCTATCAAATACGTGGAGTGCCTTCTGTGAGTGCATGTCCGTCTCCCATTTTGATTGCTATCATAGCTCCTGTGGGGAAGGGGGAAGGTGAGAGTGATGATTTACGGTTAGGTGAACCTTCATTACTGTATCCTCGCCATCAAAACACTGAAATAAGAAAATAAGAACTATACAAACGAGAGGAGGCCATTCGGCCCATCGAGCTCGCTTGGGGAGAACTTAACTAATAGCTCAGAGTTGTTAAAATCTTATNTAGTTGTGTGTGTATGAGAGTATGATTGTTCATGTAAAGCAGGTATAGTTGTGTGTGTATGAGAGTATGATTGTTCATGTAAAGCAGGTATAGTTGTGTGTGTATGAGAGTATGATCCTGTGTGTGAGACCCAAGTATGAATTATGTCTCATACGGCCCCTCATAGGATCCAGCTAGGGGTGCTTGGGACTTTGCTCCGCCTCTTCCTTGTTAAGTGGGAGGGGCTTGGCTTACAAAAAGCTCCTGCTCTGCTGCTGCTTTAAGGCTTTGCTGGTATTCAACGCTGCTGTTTTGTGCCTTATAATAAGAGTGTGATGCTACTATTGTGAAATGCTGTTCCTGAGAGTTGTTGAGGTATGGAGTGGAGACAACCAAGGTTAGCATGTGCGCGCATATATATTCTTGTGTAGCTGACCAAAGAACACTAGGTAAGGGGCAGGTGCCATATGGTGTATGTTTGGTTAAGCTTAGTTATACAGTTGTGTTCAAAATAATAGCAGTCCGACATCACTAACCTAATCAATCATTGTTTTTGGTAGAAATTATATTTCTACATAGCAAATAATTTACTAGTATGTGTAGTAGAGTAATGGAAAACCAACAGACCCAACAGTCATGACATGCATGCTGCTGATTCTGGGTAATTGAATCATTAATTGAAAGGGGCGTGTTCAAAATAATAGCAGTGTGAAGTTCAATCAGTGAGGATATTCATTCTGTGAAAAGCCAGGTGCCCATTATGGGCCTTATTTAAGGAAGGAAGGCAGTAAATGTTGTACATGCTGGTTATAGTGCATTTCTCTCTGAAATTCTGAGTAAAATGGGTCATTCCAGACATGGTTCAGAAGAACAGCGTACCTTGATTAAAAAGTTGATTGGAGAGGGGAAAACATATAAAGAAGTGCAGAAAATGATAGGCTGCTCAGCTAAAATGATCGCAAATGCTTTAAAAGTGGAAGAAAATGAAAAACTACCATTCGAATAGATCGAAGAATAGCCAAAATGGCAAAGAAATGATCAGCTCCAGGAAGATCAAAAAAGGTCTAAAGTTACCTGTGAATACTGTTACAATCAGATGACGCCTATGTGAAGCCACAGTGTTCCTGGTCATCCTTAGCCTCCAATGCGATCTTCCTTTCGACATTCCTTTTAGCTCGTCTAATGTCATTTTTTAACTCAGCCTGTA